CCAAGGAAGGCAAAACATCAGCAGATTAAACTTCATCTTAAAAAAAAAAAAAAAAAAAAAAAAAAAGGAGTAAAGCCAATCCTTTATTTGGCTATACTTAAAATAGTAGTAAACATACTCCTGTGACCCAAAGTCAGCTGAAAGTGGGCTGATGCTTGCTGCCGGCTGAGAAGAAGGATCTACTCTGATGGCCTGATTGACAACTTGCTCTGCCTCTCTGTGAGAGGTCACGTGATCAATCAGCTCTGGGTCATAGAGCCAAGGTGGGACACCAGTAGCATCGCTCGCCGGTTCTAAGCAACGGGGAGAGTATGTTTGACTCACCCTGAACTACTCTTAAAAATGCTGACTGAACTTCACATGTAAAATACAGCTGAAGTTACCACCTTGTCCCGGCTGCTACCAGCCAGCTCCGCAGATACAGTATCTTGGACTACCAACCTCATTTTCTCACAGTAGGCCTCATTTATTGAAGTGATAGGGAAGTAGTTCTGTGCTGGGATCCTTAGCATAGGTTAGTATCCCAAATTGAAATGCAGCCTGATGAACACATATATAAAAAGGCAGCTCTCCTGTGTACAGGAGCCTTGCTTTGGATCTTGTAGAGAAGTATCAAGAGTATAAAAAGAGAAGCAAAAGGCTAGTATTACAGTCCAGATGCTGTTTTATTTATTATAGCACCTGTTTTACAGCAAATGCACTTCAGGGTTTGAAGAAGCCACCTTAAATCAGGGCTTGTAAAGTAATGAATTCAGGGAAATCTGGAAGAAAAAGGCTTGGGATTCCTAAAGGGGTTGGTTTAGGCACATAGAAGATGTTTTGCAGCTTCTGGATCAGGCACCTCATATTAACCTAATTAATTAAGGAATTCCAGTCTTTTTTGATCAGGTTTTCTAAGCCTGGATGAAGGGGGTCCATGCATCCCCCAAAATGCATTGGATGGTAGATGCTATTAATAAGATGCTATAAATAATATACTGTATCTGGACTTTAGGATAGTTGTGATATCCTCTTTTAAGATCTGGATTCATTTATTTGAAGTGCCTGAAATGTAATCTTTGTGTTGCCTCACCCAATAATTCTGCACTAGAAAATAGAGAAAGGAAACCAGAATCTGGTAGCACAGACACGTCTTAGGATGCTTTAATGAATGCGGTAATCCTGTGCCAGTACAGAAGAATGGTTCTACCAGATCCAACCAGAGGCAGTTACTAACAAAACTCCTTTCTCACCTTTCCCGTATAATTCACCGTTTTGTCCATATAATCCTCTGCCTTCTGCAATGCCAGGTGAACTTTCTGGAAATCTACAGAGTGGAAATGAAAAGTTAAGACAAGTACAGGCAGCTGGTCCCATCTATAAAAACTAAACTCCAGGAAATCGGCTAAATAACCATTCAACATGCTATTCAGCTGGTCTTGTGAACCAGACAACAACGGGAGGTTATTTCGGCTTTAAGCAGCGCTGCCAAAATTGGTCTGGGCATCTAGGCTTCAATAACTTCTGATCATGAAGGGGTTAAAGGTTGTTACAGGGAATGGAAAACCAAACCATTTAAAAAAAACGACTTTTCTAAAGAATATTTTTCCTTCACTGGCTTAAGTAAGAAGGGTTCCGACACCTGCACAGTAGGTGGTAAAGGGCTGCAGGTTGGACACCAGCGGCCTAAAATCCTATTATTTTTATAAATTTTTAAACTGCTCACTTACCTGTTTCCCCTGTTATCTGGTCAACCTTGACATTAGCAGACAATCCAGTTTCCAGAAGGCAATGTTCGATCAGTGTGGCACCGTATGCTAGAACAAACAAGGAGACAATCACTGCCTGCAACTCACAATGGGGCCCATTTATGACAAGGGGAACATAGAAAAAACGCTCAACTCTCAGATGGCCTGTGTCTCCCTCCATTCCAGCGCTGCAGGCTCTGTATAACTCTTCAACATTCAACACTTCTGGGCGTGTTGGTTGCCCATTACTTCCATCATGTGCAGTGAATCCACCCTCTGATTCCTATGTTACAAGAGGGCTCAGCAGTGATGAAGTGGTCGGAGGATGGACCTACAGCACACGATGGGGGACGTGGGCACCCGACACTGCTGGAAGGTTAAATGCTGAAACGTCTTAAAAGGTAAATGAGTCTGGAACTGAAGTGTCACACCATAACATTTAAGTCCAGATATAAGTTTATTCCAAAGACAAATTGTTTACACAAGCCAATGCAATTCGGGGGGCAAGCTCCGCTCCCTCCATTAGGGTTTGAAGAACAAACTATGGTGCAAATTTGATCTGCCTGCACAGAGAAGCATAGAGGCCCAGTGATGAGTCTATAATAAAAGGTATGTAATGACAATGCAAAGGGTTGATAAGGGGGAAAAAGGAGGAACCAGGGAAGGCAAATTATAAGCAGATTTGTTTTCAGCTTTAACATCCAGAGACTTCCTTTCATTCTCCCATACAGCACAGGAGAGGGATAACCTGATAGGTTGCTACAGGCAACAAAAACGTTTGATAATTCTGATGCATTGAGAAGCAAGGCTTGCCATGGCTACTTACGGAGGTGTGGGTTAAGAGTCCTCTTCAGCTGCTCTCCTTTCTGAGCATTTTCTACAATCTCTTTAACCCTTTATAGAAAAAATATAATAATAATAAAAATAGAAAAAGTCTGTTTCAATCAAATTATGTGATTTTACTTTTTAAACTTCTGCTAAACCTGTCCGCCCCTTTCATGTGCTCCCTGATGCCTACATTGGGATGGAAATTCTAGTTGTTATCACTATGTTCCTCTTTTTCTGCCCAACTGACAAGCAGGAAGTGTGGGGAAATCTTCCCAGTGGGGACACACAAAAAAAAAAGGGGATCTAAAGCTGGACATACACTCCAGTCCAGAATTTACACAGCTCTGCCATACAGAATAAAAAGGTGACCTCATTTTTTTTTCTTACTGCAGTTAAACAATGAAGACCAGTCACTGCCCTACGCCCAACCTGTGACTACACCGTGAAGGAGTAGCACACTGATGCGCTCATCCCGCTGTTCTCTTTTCCTGCCAGCGCATTTCTTCTCAGCTCATGTGCATAGAAAAAAACCTGACTGGCTTCTAGTGTTGCCCCAGCCACTGTGCATCCTAAAATGAGACAAGAGGCTGATACAAAGGCACATATATTTATTTTATTTCATGAATATACAGTGCATTCAGAAAGTATTCAGATCCCCTTCACTTTGTTCAATGTTGTTATGTTGCAGCCTGATACTACAATTGTTTAAATTCTTTTTTTTTTCCTCTCATTAATCTACACTCAGTAACCCATAATGACAAGAAGGGGATACTTATGCCAATGTGATATTTCAGTTTTTTCTTTTTAACAAATTCACAGACATTTCTAAAATTCAGTTTGTCATTATGGGGTGCTGAGTGTAGATTAATGAGAAAAAATAAAATAAATGAAAACAACTGGGAGTATCAGGCTGCAACATAACAAAAATTGAGAAAGGTGAAGGGGGTCTGAATACTTTCTGAATGCACCGTATTATGGTATTAATAAATGTATTTTTTATATATCAGCCTGCAGATCAGCTCTTATTATAGGAAAGGTCTCTAAGTCTGTGGTTCTCAACTGGTGGGTTGTGGCCCAAAAGTGGGTCGCAGCCTCGTGTTCAGGGGATCGCTGTGTGCCTTTCAGTGTGCTAGGGCGAGAGGCTCCTCAGCCTACCCCTAGCACAGCACTGTCAGTTCTTGCGCCGAGCAGCCATTCAAAATATGCTGCCCAGCACCAAGCATCAGGTTCAGGTAAGGTGGACTGGAGTTATGGCCGCGAGGGAGCTCCATCCATGTGTGCATTGCTTACAGCTCCCTCGTGTGCCCTGTGGAGGTGCCTGGACCTCACATTCTGGCTCCCGGCAACTCTAAAGGACACGCAAGGGAGCTGAACAAGCAATGCACATATGGATGGATCTCCATCACAGCACAGCAGCCCACACTGGACTCAGGCTGAGGATCCACTCCAGTTCTGATAAGGTAGGGAGACCCGGTGGATCTTAGAAAAAATAAAATACATATTTTTGGAGTGTGTGCGAGAAGGTCTGTGAGTGTGTGAGATTGTGTCTGTCCATGTTTTTGAGGGACGTTCACACTAGTACAAGTGCGTTAATTACTCATTCACACACTGTACCACGCAATCGCACCTACTACGCATTCTGGTTTGGTAGGAGCGTTGTGTTGCTATTCATTTGAATGGCACCCCAAATGCACCTCCTGCCCACAGTTCAATCGCCAGCACCAGAACGCGTGGTACCGCAATACTGTGCGTTCCATTGCAGTGCAACTTGGGTCACAACTTAATGACCAAAGACAATTGTGGATCCTGAGGTTACACAGGTTGGGAACTCTAAGTGACATAGAAAGCTTTGTGGCTCCTGTTGCTATAAGCTGCATTCATATGTGATAGAATGTAGAATCATACCTCTCCATGGTAATAAGAGACTCGGGGGCCTTGGCATTGCTAACAGGATAATGTTCTCTGACGGCAAACTTGACGTCATCAGCTTCATCTGTGCGGAACCTCAAGATGTTAAGAATGAGATACTCGTGATCCGTGAGCACAATGTTTCCCTGGAATAACACACAAAAAAGAAAATACAAGAATTAGGCATTTGGATAAAAAGGTGTCTATACTTATAGTGAAACTTTTCAGTAGCTTTACAAGTCTCCGGACATGTCACAATATATAGCAACAGCATCTTAAAAATAAAACTCCACTTCTTATAAATAAAGAGCAATCCTTAAGCACTAGTTGGTGACTGTCTTGGCTGAGATGATGTCATCAGTCTGCTGCAGGCAGGAGGAAGCATTTCCTCCGTCTCCCCTCCCCCAGTGATCAGTCTGCTGCAGGCAGGAGGAAGCATTTCCCAAGTCTCCCCTCTAGCAATCAGACTGCAACATTGTAACTTTGTATCCAGTCACAAAGTGAGAGGCTGCAGCAGGGGCTGATCCATGTCAAATATTAGTGAACACAGCAGGTGATTGTGTTATCTCTGAGCTGGCATCTAAGTCCAGGAAGTAAAGGATGACCCTGGATGATGCCTGAACAAAGATGGTGCTGTCCTTCTAAAGGGAAAAGCACATGAAAACATGGTCAGGGGGAGTAATGTGATCTCTATGAATGCTATTAAATGCAAGCACAGCAATAGCAAGTGTTACACTAACACATTACTGCGCATTCTACACATGACATACATAGAAGTCAGTCTATATTAGGAAAAGCTTGGTGCAGAATGAAATTTGAACCTTAACCTGTATAACTGCCCAGATAATTGCACCACCAGGAGAACAGCGATATCAGTCAAGGTTCTAAAGACCAGGCACTATGGGAGAGGTGTGTTTTTAGAGCTCAGAACTCAGCCGTCTTCCTACATCTTAAGGAAAAGGACATTTTTTCAAGGACGGTTTATATTTTTGGACATAGTAGACAGCTGGTTCTCAAGAGGCGTAAAAGAGGCCATCTTCATCAAACTGGAACAACCATCCCTAAACAGGGGTGGAGGAGTTTAACACCAACGGCTTTCTACATCTATAGCCCAGCAATTTCACACCACCAGCCATGTAAATTGATGAGTTAACACCTATACAGACTTCCTGATACTGATAGGATTATGTAACTAGAACAGGGTAGTTCCACGCCTTCCATACCTCCGGTCCTGTGTGGACAATCTACATCTACACATTCCATGGTGATTGGATGACGATATCTTGGCTAACGGTGTGGATATTAATGGTGGGTATATTCCTGACACTCATCGGAACTGAAGAAGTAGCTTGGAAAAGCTACAAAATGTCTTCAAGATTACAGAACATGTCCAGTTAGATGTGACTCACTGATACTAGATGTCCTTTTGGAACTGGACTCTATATATCTTACCCTATCATAGAGCTCAACAATGAGATGGTAAGCGGCATCATCTGAACCAAACTGGAAATCCACAATCCTGTCCACGCCAAGCTGCTTGATGCTGACCAGCCGTCTGGAACGCAAGTGCTTCCTGCACTGGAGAGATAGAAAAGTTGAAGGGCTTTAATCAGTATAACATGTCAGTTCAAAACAATGGGAAGCAAAATGTATCTTCAAATGAAATGTATAAACAGGAAATGTGGGCTCTGGCTTTTAAAAGGGTTCCCTGTGATTGTTGAGCTCATTTTCAACACAATGAGGACTTCTGGACATCTACACCAAACACATCTTCAACACAATGAGGACTTCTGGACATCTACACCAGACTCATCTTCAACACAATGAGGACTTCTGGACATCTACACCAGACTCATCTTCAACACAATGAGGATTTCTGGACATCTACACCAGACTCATCTTCAACACAATGAGGACTTCTGGGCATCTACACCAAACACATCTTCAACACAATAAGGACTTCTGAACATCTACACCAGACTCATCTTCAACACAATGGGGACTTCTGGGAGTCAACACTAAACACTAACAAGTTCTATGAGGGCCATCTGATCAACAGACAGGCCAGCACTGGGGGTGCATGGCACAGCTCTGACTTTCAAGCTGGAAAGTCAATATTTGCATATGTGTTTAGAGCCTCCTAGGTGGCTGTTTTCAGTCTTTTCCTGTCAATTTTATATAAGTGATGTGTGTGCTTTAATCCCTACATGGCCTGAATGTCAAAGGCAATCCTTGAATCCGGATGGCCCAAGGCATGATCTCAAAATGATCCAACTGCTCTGCAGATACTCCAATCAGTCAAATGCTACGTGACAAGGTAATGAGATGCATGGAGAGGTGAAGGCAGGAAATGACAGAGTGGTCCATCAAGTTTGCCCCCTTTTTTTTTTTTTTTTTCAATAATGCAGCTTTTTCATTTTGAGCATAACCAAGCACCAGAAGCCATAACACTAAAGAAGAACCCATGCAGGGCACTGACAGGTACTCTTTTTAAAAAAAATTGCCAATTGCTTTCTTTACGGCTAGATTTAGACATGAGCTGGAACAAGGTCCTAAGGGAACCTAAGACAAAAAGTGACCCTCCCTCCCCATAAGTTATGAACTATTTTAGCAGGATAGGTTGTACATCCTGCCCTTGTGCAACCCCCAAAGCATCCACCTCTTCTGCCTATCCATACAAGGGTACAGGTACTCTTAAATACTAGTCCACACAGGGACTCTTATATACACGTACGCACAAAAACACGCACACTGAACTTGATGGACCTGTGTCTTTTTTCAACCTCAGATACTATGTAAGTAAGACCGATTGATTTCCTTCAAACCTTCATTGCGAACCCGGACGGCATCATATTCTTGGGCCATTCAAACTCTGTAGTGTGAATTCTGATCCCGGATTCCACCAGAAGAACGGCTTTTGAGTCTGGCCTGTCAATCAGAGGTAAATGGCGAGTTGTGACAATGGAAAACAAAATGTCAGAAAATAGGTTGAATCTACAGTGGCGTAAGGCGGAATATTTATAAATGACTGCAGTTACATTCACACAGGTTGCAGAAAGGTT